ATATATATATATATATATAGTTGGAGAAGAATGAGTTTATAAGTTATAAGACTTAATGTATCATTTTTATGTATTATGTATTATTTTATTTTATATTTGTTTTAATTAAAAGAGAAGGGAGTTAGTTTTCAAGAAGGAGATCACCCTAGAGATTTACATTCGTCTTTGAGTACTCATTGAGGTAGGAAGTGAGTAGTGTCACTCTAGACGTGAAATATATGTTGGATAGTGAGACTAACTCCCAATTTCTTACTTTGTTGTATGCGTTGTATGAGAAAGCAATCTCAATTTCTAACCTCAACTTGTATTTTTGCTTCCAACATGATTCTTCAATATTCTAATTGATGTTGTTGATGTATATGTATTCTCAATTTGTATATTAACTAACCTTATGGCTTTTGGATTGTCCATGGTTCCATAGGAACCTTAGGGGGTGTAAGTATTAAGTTAATATGGGATAATTGAGATAAGCATGCATGTGGGAATGTGAAATCTGTTGGATTTGAGTAATTGATGATTAAATTGTATAGTAATAGGTTGTAATTTGACATCTTAGCGATTGGATTTGAATTAAAGGTGTTAAGGGATGGTATAGGAAAAGTTAAAATCCTATGAATAGTATAATATTGTGTTGTACCTCGCTCAAGCAAACTTTGATTCGCTCAATGCGGATTTAGTTCGCTTCAAGTTATCTTAGGCTCGCTCAAGTAAGTCCTGACAAAGATTTTAGGGTAACAACTCACTTTGAGTGAATTTTAGCTAGGTTTAAGCAAGTTGACCTAGCTTAAGTGAATGATTGGCTCGCTTAGGCGAGTAGATGGCCAAATTTTCTTTTGCGATCTTCATGAAATTTATAACCCTAGATGCTAAGTTTCAAATTTTGTTAGAATCACCTAAAAAGGGAGTCTAAAACGCAAGTTATAGATTGTCTTAGTTTTCTAACAAAATTAAGATCAACTTGATAACATGTTGGAACCACTTGAGGTCATACAAGATTGAGTTATGGAAATACAGCTATGAGTGGTGATGGTGAATGACTTTATCCTTTAAGTGTATGATCTTATGAATGGTTTAAAGTACATGTATCAATGTTTAAGAAAGATAAATAATAGGAGAAAATAATTGTGAATAAATTATGATGTGAGTTAATTGTTAAAGGCTTTAAGTGTTTTAGTGATAACAATGCTTAAGAAATTAGTGTGTGATATCAATAATGTTGCGAAGCTAGTTAATTATTAATTTAAATGCTTAGTTTGATGTTAATATTATGGTTGATGTGTTAACATATGATTAGATGATTTCATGATGATTCTACCTTGAGGTGTTATCGGACGATATTGTGAACATTGTGTAATTGAACTATGAAATGTAATTCTTGTGGAATATAATGTATTGTACTTATGTTGGCCTAGTAGTGATATGAGTAATGTGTGTATGTTGTGTAATTATGATAATGTGATGACATTATATTGCATCGGGTCTTGTGAGACATGCATTATATGCATAAATGTTTTTTATGGGTACAATATATAGTATGTTTTCAAAGAATGTCTTCCTTATGTAAAAGTTTGGGGATTCATGACTTCATAGACAGTTGGATTTAGGAATCCCCATTTTTCTTGCTTGTGAGCATGGGGTGGAACTTGCGCAACACAGTCGTCTTGACGAGCTCGTGGTGTATCTCCTCTTAGTATAAGTGAGATCAGGGTGTGACTTAGCATGTCCTCTTAGGCTACTCTGTGTGCCTCTAGGCAAGGGACAACGCAATGTGATTTTTTACTAGTGCCACAAACATATGCACATTGATATATGTATCCATTGCATTATATTTGTTAATGTATAATCATGTAGTGAACCTTGTTATGAATTTTATATATATATATATATATATATATTCCACAATATTTATGGTGAACAAAATGAAATCAAGTCTCGGTACTACAGAGAAGAAGTTTACACTGTTTGAACTTTGAACAAGATAGCGAATCTTAAAAGCTAGCATAAATGAGATTTCCTACAAATAGCTGCAGGGAGTCAAAAGCTCGAGTTTTGTTTCATCCAACAAATTTCACTGCAGTAGCTTACAGTCACCCAACTTAAATCTAATCATAATAATAAATCTCGAAAGGCTTCAACGTTCACTCTACAATAGAAAACAATCGACTCCCTTCAATTTCTATTCTCTCAAAATCATCCTCCAAACCATTATTTACTCCAGAGGACTACACCAAAGTTTTGAAGGGAAAAAAAAAAAGCAATCGGTCATTAAACTGCACTGCTAATGTAAAAGAAAAAATTTCTTCCGAATTATTAAAAAATTAATTTAAATAATAAAATATTAAATTAAATAATTATTTTATAATAAATTTATTAAATAATAATAATATTTTAACAATTCGGACGATGAATTGAAATACGTTTCGGCTTATGTAACAATGCTCTGTTTGTTCAAAGGAACTTTAGTTGTTTAAATAAAGAAAAATGCATAATTAATTGAAGCATAAAAAATAAAAAATAAAGAAAATATATTTTTTCATATATATATATATA